TTGAGGGTGAAGGGGAAAGCGAATGAAATGTCAGAAATGGATTTACACGCGAGAGGGTGGGCGGGGGCAAGCGTACCCTTCGTTGTAATCTCACCGTCTAGCACAAGCTGCGTCGCAATGCCACACGGTAAACCGACCGATGCTCTGCATGAGTTGTGTGCCGTCGCCGGGGATCGCGCTCGGATGGGCATGGTTGAGGAAGCGCGAGGACCCCGGGGGAGGGGATGCTGAATTTGTAAAGGAGCGGGTTCGGGGTGCAGTCCGAGGACGGTAGGCCGCCGCAATGGGAGAGGAGGGACTCGACAGATGCAAGGGAACCGTGATAATATAAGTTAAACGCGCCTCAATTTGAATACATTCTCGCCCTTCGCGGACCTTTCTGCCTTTGTCATGAATTTCGCTGATGGTCTTGACGGCATATATGTGGGGGATCCCGGGGTCGCTCGTTTAAATCATCGAGCGCGAATAGCGCGAGTCTGACATAACTTGTCGTCACAACGCCCGTCTTATCCCTGACCGCGAAACGGATGACGTCGGTGTGGTAGGAGTCCGGCACCAGGGACAGGACGAGGTCGGTCTTTGCTATAGCCACAACGAGTACCGCGGTGGAGGTGATGTTGAGAGTCCACGCGGTTGTGCGGGAGAGGGATTCGGGAGAAGCGAAGGTGCGCCATGTGGTCGTGGGGTGGAGCGGGCTTAGGGTGTTGTACTCAGCTACTGTAAGAACAAAGTATACGCTGTTAGTAAACGTTCCCGATCACTCCGTCATATTCTAGCATAACAAGTCGGCGGCTCACTAATGCTATGTAGCGGCATCTCGATATCCTGCATCCGAAATAATAATAATTACATCTGAATTAGTTAGTATAACAGTCAGTGATCATCTCGAATAGCGAGGAGAAGAATTATACAGATTTACAAATTATATTCTCTTTAATTACATACGCTTCCAAAGAGGAGGACCTTTCACGGCGTTGCGTTCGCTGCAAGCTGTGGTGCGAGGATGGGAAGGATATCCCCCGGTGTCGAGGATGACACTTGCGAACTCCAGAAGGGTGAACGTTCGGCGCGGTGTGCAAAGCTTTATCAGAGTTGCTTCCTTCATCGGAGTGATCAATATTCGCCATGCTGTGGAAACGGGTCTGCCTCAGTTGTCCATAAACAAATTAAATACAAAGGTCTACAAAGATCGAGTAACATCTGATATGGGAACACAAGAAATCAAGGATTCCGATAGCACTACGCGATTACCGCCATATCGTAGTGTGGAACACGTCAGGCTCATCCATGGGTAGGATCAGTGGTCACTTGCCCTCCACTTCGATGAGCTGATAGTCTGTCGAAACGGTTAAATTCTATGGATGCCATCATTGAGTCACGATAGGATTGAGAAATATCAGCCCATTGCATGATATTCATTACGAGGCGGGATCCCATCGTGCACGATATGATACTTGTCCATCTGAAATGCATAGTCTCCAATTGGTCTTGAGCACGAAAAATTGATTGCCACTCACATTATGGTGATCTGAACCCTAACATCGTTTCTGGGGTAATACATGGTACAGTTGACAAGTAGCGCACCGAAAATACTGGTAACACAAGTTAAAGAATACAGACCCAGGAGTGGAAGAGTGCGAACATGCCTAGCGAAATAAATAATGCTAGACGACCAGTATAACTCAACCCCCACTTTCAAGAGAAGTAATTGGAACACTGTGCATACCTATCACATATCATCTCTGACAAAAATGGAACCCTATATTCATCTCGGTAATTCTGAATGGCCTTCAGTATCATGAGGAAGCACAGAGTTGTTTCATTGATCAACGAGGGCAGCATCCCGAACCAAAACCTTTGTGCCGTTACAGTGGTCAGGCTGCAACCGAAGACATCAGAAGACGATTTAATCCCTACTTGTCATGTAAGGGACTGGATTGACCACGTCTTTTTCATGACATATAAGTACTGACCGGAAGGTATTTCAAGGCTCATAACGAAAATAGACGCAAGTGCCCCCAGTGCTAACGAGGTCCCTAGCACAATACGTAACTTGTTATTATGACCGTAAACGGCGTAAACCTGTTGGATGTTGAATTCATGGGAAGGACATCGGTACTATGGTAGCGACTTGAACTCACCCGACAAAGTAATATTACTTGATGGATCAGATGGGAAAGCGTATCGGTATCATGCTTCTTGGGAAAAGCCATGCGAGACTAAACGTACTTTCTGCAGAGAGAACGGCAGCACTGAGACTTTTCCAATGCAAAGGAATCAGCTGGTATACCTCTCCTCATTGATGAATACTAACGAGAATATATCCCACCAAATGAGATAATGGCAACTCAATTCCACAATCAGTCCATTCTCACTGTGGAGAGTTTGATTGATCAGCATTAGAACTACCAAGATGAAAATGCATGAGATATATCGAACGATGTATGACGCCGTCGGAACCGTAACACACACCTCTAAGGTGTATAATTACAAATTTGGCTTGGGTTTCTCTGCGAAAGGTTGCTTGAGCTAACAAGGATTACAATGACCTCATAGCGGTTCTAGTCACCAGCAGAGTCGAAAATAGCTATGAAGAGTCCGAGATAACGGACCTGAACCAAGATCAATGTTATGGCAATTTGATGTAGCTCCAGAACGATGCAGCTCACGAAAAGATAGAGGAATTTTCCCAATGACCACCGTCGTTTCCACACAGATTTCTGTAAGACGTGATATGTGAAAAACATATGTCTCGAAATTACATCCACGCACTTCGTGGTGAATAGTCAATGCTGAACATACAACAGTGATGATGTATTAATTTCTAGTACAGTTGAAGTAAAATTCTGGGTTTACCATAGTCATACGCCATTACTACTATTGCTGCCATATGTGAATATTGGTCAGAAATATCTGCAACAAGATAGTATGTGATAATTGATAATTCGTCCAACAATCCTGAACCGTCAGGAAAGAAATGTGGGACTCACCCGCTCTCAGCAAGTCGAAAACCTCTGGTGGAAACACAATATCGCTCATGATACCTAAGACGGAACTCGTGGCTAGCTGGCATAGTAACTTTGATGCACTTTAAGACCATTTTGGATATGAAGACTGAGACCAGAACACAACTGAGGCACCACGGCACCAAAGAAGGAGCGACGACCGATCAAACAGTGCTATCATGATCGTGAGCGGTGATCTCAATCCCCCTTATACTTCATAGTCTTCTCCAACACTGATTCTGGACAATAACGCAAAATTTCATTCCACGGTCTATAACCGTCCCTCGACGAGCATCACGCATAATCAGACGTTTTGCTTTAATGTTGGAACCAATTGGAGCAAATAGGAACCAGATGTTTAACCCTTGAGCAAAATTGTCAATGTATGGGACTTTAGAAGACAAAGAGTGAAGGGGGGTATGAATGTAGAATATTTTAACACCTCTCACCATCCTTCCACTCACTGCACGCCAAATCGGTGCTGGAAAACGATCATGTCCTGCGCACCCTGCTCATACCTCATGAGCTCTTCAAGACGGGCACAAAGCGTGTCGAAGAGCGTGGCCTTGGTAGGACGTGTTAATATTCGGATTTGATGGTGCGACAAGAAAGAAAACGCCCACCCTAACGGTAGCCTTCTCAGCACCCAGGAGCCTAATCCACCTCAAGCACGACACGACCTGGTCGCGTGTATGTTTGTCGCCGGGGAGAAGGGACGCAATAGCAGCAAGGATAGCACTACCAAAGGAAACATCACCGCCATGACCTACAAAAAAGACAACCAAGCCCAAACGCTACTCACCTCTCACTCGCCTCCTCCGCACCCACAACCCACAATCTTCGCACGCACCTCCGCCCACGTCATCTCCTCTTTCAACAGAGCCCTTGGGCTCCTGGTCCAACCACCCGATGCCCACCAATACACCCACAAAGACACAAAAGCCGCTCCACCGCAGCGTGCCTCGCAACACCTCCACCGCCTCCGGAATATCATACAGCTCCGCAAAGGGGACGCTGTCCCGGTTCGCGTACCCCTCGAAGCCGAACACGCCGACCTTGATGGGGGCCGCGCTCTGCATAAGCTGTGCGGCCGCCGGGGATCGCGGTCGGCTGGGCATGGCTGAGGAAGCGCGCGGGGTTGAGCAGCGCGAGGAGGACCAGCTGAATTTGTAGAGGAGGCGGATCGGGGAGGCTGCCAAAATTGGAGAGGAGGGACTCGACAGATGCACGGGAAGCGTGATAATATAAGTTAAACGTGCCTGGCTTTGAATACATTCCCGCCCCTCACGCACCTTTTGGGCTTTGTCATGAATCTTTCCAATGGTCTTGATGGAATAGAGGTCATAGACACCGGGATCGCTCGTTCAAATCATCTAGCGTGAACATCGGGAGGCTGACATAACTTGTCATCGCAACGCCGGTCTTCTCACTGACCGCGAAACGGATGGCGTCGGTGTGGTAAGTGTACGGGACCAGAAGGAGCGACGACCGATCAAACAGTGCTATCATGATCATGAGCGCTGATCTCAATCCCCCTCATACTTCATACTCTTCTCCGACACTGATTCTGGGGAATCACACAAAATTCCATCACACGGTCTATATCCTTCCCTCGACGAGCATCACACAGAATAAGACGTTTTACTTTGATTTTGGAACCAGTGGAACAAATAGGAACCCGATGTTGAACACTTGAGGAAAATTGTCAATGTATGGCTTTGATGAATTTGTCCTGTGCCGCGCCAGGTGTGCATCAAGTCTGCTCGACTCCTGTGGAGCAACACTTTCAATATGACGTGGAACCTACATATATTCATGGATACCTTAAGCTCGAGACGTCTGCAGTGACTAAGTTCTATTGGAAAGGCAAAGGTTACCTCAACTATATACATCAGTACGTGTCAGGCCATGGCATACTACACGAAGAGTAACTCACCTTGGTCGTGCCCTGAGGAGGCTATGGGTGTAAGAATTACATAAACAGGGTGAAAATATTGACCTGAGCTGGATTTGAACTAGCAACCACTAAGTTGGATTACATGTCTAGTGCTCTTAACCCCTGAGCTATCAGGTCATTAAGAGTAGTTCTATTAAGAACCAGTTACTACTGAGATGATTAGTCATCAGTAAGATATTAATATATCCAGGTCAACCATTACTCATTCAACAATGGGAATGGCTGATGTGTTTCTATAAAGAGGGCCAATACTCACACATTCGGGTGGAAGCTGTGCCCACACCGTGCACAGCATGAGGCATTACATAAGATCAACAAGGCTGTGACCCATGGGGGGCAAGCCCCCACCATGCTACCACCTACAACTTTACTCGGTCACTTTGCGACCTGGTGAATCAATAATAATGTCTTTAAACATTACATCAGCATCTGATTCAGAGACTTATTTTAAAGTGATTAAATTTTACATTATTTAGAATTATGTACATTATATACATTTGTAAATTTACTGAACCTAAAAAACATAAGTCAGTCTCCTTTTGGAACCTTGCTGAATACTTATTCATGGATCAATAATAACATTTTTAAACACTACATATTTGGCTTGGAATAGTATTTATATTCTTCCTCAGTTTGTTTCTCTTGAAGTGTCAGGTTTTTTGTTTCACAATTGGACTTCCAACTTCCCATATGGCTGTGATTACCCTTCCCCTATGTCATATTGGGGATTTCTGCAGATTCTAGCTCCCCATTTATTCTTTTTCATATTCATACCCCACTTTCCTTCCATTCCACTCATCTGTCTGTCATTGAATCTTTTAGGATAAATTATTGTCTTGTATTCTACTAATCTCCAGTTCAAACATGGATTTAGAACCTTTCTGTTAAGAACCACATCGTTCAGGCCCATGTATTTTCAACCTACAGTACATACATATACTGTCCTCTGGCATTGTGATACCCAACAACACATCACTTATTCATTTCCTTTTCCAGCCAGTCTATCTCAGTTCTGTTCTAATGACATTCCATTATTCTTTGCATCACTTCATATCATTTGCCACCTTAGAATATTTATCTTTTTTCTGTTGTCTTGTATTCCTTTTCTTAATATCCTGTTCTGTTTCCCAATTTCCTTTGTTCTGCTAATATCAAATCTTCACTTTCAGCTCTGTGCTTCCATTTACTTTAGTATAAAACCCCATCATGTACACTACTATCTTTCAGTTTGAATATTGACTTAGAACACTCATTTAGAGCCCCCTCTCATATTTAGAAGTGTATGAAATAATACCTTCATTTACCTTTTAAGTATTGTTCATACTGCTTAATCCTTTTGCTAGTGTCTGGCCAGACTGAGACTTACTGTATGACCCTTTTTGATCTTAGCCTCTGGACCCTATAAGACAGGTAAGGGGTACTGTGATGTCGGAATATCCACGGATAAAACGTCTGTAAAAATTGGCAAAGCCGAGGAAGGATTGTATATCTTTAACTTTTCGGGGTTCGGGCCAATCTTTGATGACTTGCACTTTAGTTTCTTTCATGCGGAGTCCATCAGGTCCCATCATGAAACCTAGGTATTCTACGGAGTCCGTGTCAAAAGTACATTTTTTACCATTTGTGAATAAACCATGTTGTCTGAGCCTCCAGAGAACTTCATGGACTTGTTTGTCATGTTCCGCGGGATTATCAGAGTAGATAAGAATGTCATCCAAGTAAACAATGACGCATACATTGAGCATGTCAGAGAAAATGTCGTTGATAAAATGCTGAAAAACAGATGGAGAACCCGAGTTTGAAATCTCACAGATTTTAGATTCAAAAATTGATAAGCATCGATGCACTTGTAAACTGCTTTACTTGGTCAAGTGGGTGGGTTACGAGGGCACCGATGAAGAAACCTCATGGATTTTGGCCATGGAACTTGGTAATGCCACAGAAATCGTTACTGACTTTCATACAGCTTACCCGCTCAAACCTGGACCATTATCTTCTCTATGACCACACTCCGCAGACCCCGTGTTACGTTTGGACTCATTTTCATTATTCCCTGTCGCCCTATGTCTCTCTTTGCTTTTACAGGTTCTGACATGTCTTGTCAAGTCTTTAAGTGGACTCTCTGCAGACTTTGGCTTTGACTTTTATTTTTTATGTTTTTCACGCTTTACCTTTATGTTCAATTATTATTAAGTTCTATCTTCTATTCTTCATCTACATTGATGGGGCTATCTTTTTTCCCTGCCTCTTTTTCCACCTCAGCTTTTCCCGCCTCATTCATCTCCTCAGGTAGCTCCATGATTCCTACGGGCACCTCCTCCTCATCTAAACTGGCTTCCTCGGAACTCCCAGCCTCCGGCTCCTCATAAACAAAGCTGGCATACTCCATCAGGAATCTAAAATGGTCCCCACAGAGTGCACGGAGATCGTTCGCCATCACAACACTGACCTTGTTGCTCTTCCAGAGCAACTTGTTCTGGGCTTCTATGCCCTCGGCGATCCGTCCCAAAACTTCCTCCAGACCGGAGTATCTGTCCGACCCGCCATTCTCCCGTGAACTGGACCCCGTGGCCTGCTCATGAACAAGCGAGCACCTCGCCTTGAGGTGCACGCACTGGTAACAGCCTGGGCCCCGGCCGGACTTCCGATTACACTCAGTGTTCCGGTCATTACAACCGGAACACTGTGGGTCATTCCGAGTTGGTAGGCAGACTGGCGCCACCTTCCTTGCTTTCTGTTGATACGGTTAGCTCCACAGTATACCCACAGACCTGAGACTCACCTTGTTGGGGCATTCTGGCTCCCCCTCAGACTTGGACTCGACTTCCGCTGCCTTGCGCTGAAAATGCCAAGTCAAAAAAAGCGACAAGTTGAATTATGGGACTTACCTTTCCTGCAACAACTGTGGCTCTATCCGCGGCCACCTGGGCTTTCTCTGCCGCTACCCTGGCCTTCTCCGCGGCCACCCGCGTAGCCTCCTCCTCCTCCCTCTGCTTCTGCCTTGCAGCCTCTTCCTCTGCGGCCACGGCCGCCTGGTATTCCCTATTCAGGGCCTCCTTGACCTCCCGGGCTTCTCGCTCCACCTCTTCTCGCTGTCGACATTGCTCGTCCCGCTGCACCAAGATTTGGGCAGCGGAGAGCGGCGCCCGGTACTGACTGCCCGTGGAAGGGCTGGCGGTTGGCATAGGCTTGCGTGGCATGGGCTTTGGTCCCATGTTATCGATGATGGGGGTAATAAAGAAGAAGAAATTTCTATTTTTTCAAATTTATATATAGGCTCGTCGCGTTTGAACCTTACCTTCCAGATCACATGACTCTTTGACACATACGTGTAACCGACATGACTTTTGACACATGCGCGTAGCTGACAAGAACCTTATCTGGGTCTAGAGCCTCTTTGGGACTTCGGCATAAAGGGAGGGTACTGTTACGATCGGACAATCCCGCCAGACTCCGGGCACTAACCTGTACACCCCCACATGCTACAAGCACCAATTGTCTGTTTAAAGAATTTCCCGCCTGGACTCCGTTACGTCAAGACTTGTTACATTCGACCTCATTACGACACATATCAGTCACCGGACTTCCCCCGGACTCCATCTCTGTCTATGTCCGTCTTCGTCCTACGCATCAGTCACTGGACCCCACTCAGAATCCCGTCACTACTCTAATCGAGCGCCGTTCCCATTTTAGTCAAATGACCTGTCACGATTTAGGACTCCGCTCCCGCTCCGTTTCCCGTTATGGGTTATGCTTTGTCATGATTCGGACTCCGCTCCATTCCATTCTTAACACCAATTTGGTGTTTACTATTCCCATTTTATGTTTTGTTAGTTTCGTTTCATCATTACTGGATTTGGTATGTCATTCACTCCATGGTCTATATAAACTGGCAGATGTTGTACATACAATCCAGTCAGAAAATTAGCTTAGATTCCCCCCAGTAATCTAGTAACATTTTCCGCTCCAAAAACCTTACTTGATTCACATCGCTTTAACTAGTCAGAGCCCACAGGCTCCGGCACATCTATCTCTCTCAACTATCTCGACTCACGACCCACGACCTCCGACTTACAACCCACGACCTCCAACTTACAACCCACAACCTCCAACTTACAACCCATGACCTCCAACTTACAACCCATGACCTCCAACTTACAACCCACGACCTCCAACTTACAACCCAAGACCTCCAACTTACAACCCACGACCTCCAACTTACAACCCATGACCTCCAACTTACAACCCACGACCTCCAACTTACAACCCACGACCTCCAACTTACAACCCACGACCTCCGACTTACGACCTATGACCCATGAACCCTGCCCAGACTCCCCGGGATTCCTGTCCGTCTGTTTGAAATTGGACAACACGATCTAGCAAGGGCGCAGCCTATAAGCTGAAGCCAAGTCCTAGCCGGGTCTCCGGAGAAACCCGCGGGAATCTGGTAGGACTTGGCTTCAGCTTATAGGCTAGAGGAAAGGGGCACATGCACAAACTGGAGGAAAGAGGGATCAGAAGAAAATGAAGAGAGAAGCAAACAATACACGAACATCCTGGATGAAAGAGAAAGCAGGGTGGTCAGAGGAGGATGACAGGAGAAGGAAAGGGTACACAAACTGACTGGAGGGAAGAGAGAGGAGGCCAGTGGGATGAAGAAAGGGGCACATGCCTAGAGGAAAGAGGAGGCCAATCAGAGGACAACAAAGAGAAAAGGAAAGGCTACACACACATCCTGGAGGAAAGAGAGAGGAGGCTGATCGAAGGGGAATGGGTATATGCACATCCTGGAGGAAAGAGAGAGGAGACTGATCAGAAGGGGACAAAGTGGAGGAATGGGTACACATACATCCTGGAGGAAAAAGGAGGCTGATCAGGGAGACGAAGAGAGGAGGAAAGTGTACATGCACCGACTGTAGGAAAGAGAGAAAAGGCTGATCAGAGCAAGATGAAGAGAGAAGGAAATGATACACACACTGCCTAGAGGAAAGAGAGAGGAGGCCAATCAGAGGAGGATGAAGAGAGAAAGACATAGTACACGCACCTCCTGGCGAAAAGAGAGAGGAGGCTGATCAGAGCAGGATGGAGAGAGCAGGAAATGGTACATGCACCAA